GATTGTTGTTTATAGTTGAAGAAGAAGTCGTTCTTCTTCTTCTGTTTCTGGAGGGGCATTACCGCCAACTATTGGAATGGAGTGTGAATCGCGATGTGCAGCCAGACGGGGATGACGCGTTCTGCTCATGCGCTCTTGAGCCAGTGAAAAACCGAGCCGAGCCCACCTCTGGAACTGGTCTGCAGTTATCTCGTTTCAGTTGTGTCTAGCTCGGTTCAGTTCAGTTTGCTTTCCATTTACACACGATAAGTTATCTCAGTTACTGAGCTCGGACCTGTCTCGGCACAGTTTTTCAAGGGTAGTATAAATGGGGTATAAGTTAATAAAAACACCTAAAACACTGGAAGAATGGTGTCCATCTCCAGCCCTCAATTGTATCCCTTGTTTCATATAACAAGGTTTAACATGTACAAAGTAATTAAAAGTTTCGGATTAGCTCAGTTGGAGATAAACAATCCTAAATTTACAGTATTGCACCCCTAAAGGACAGGAATTGTGTGGCATTAGAAAATACGTTTCTGTGCTTTATAGACGTTCAGCATACCTGTCTTAAAGATCTCATATCGGATGGAGAAACCCGCTCCGTGCGTCTCGTAGTCCGACACAAACTTGATAAAGAGCTGGTTTCCAGAGGAGACGACCGCCGAGGGGGCTATCTTCCCGCAGTACTTCCCCACTAGCTGCCCGCTCTCATCCACGCCATCTCGCACCTCGACGTAGTCATACCTAAAAGGAAAAAAGCAACAGAGACAGTGTTGGTCACAAGCTGCCAGTCGGAGTATAATGTTCTGCTTCAATGTAGTTGATCTCAAGCGAGTTGATGATTAAAACTGTGTTTTAGTTCTGCTGGGCATTTTAGAGGAGGTGCGCTGCATAGAGGTACACACACAGTGGGACAGAAACACCACGCAACAGGGCACATTGTGTGAGTAATGCAGTGGAATTAAAACAGTGTGTGTGTTAGTGAGGTCTCAGGTCAAATCTAAGTGAACAGGAGGCAATTTATGCTCACTTACAGAAGGGTTCACGCTTCTATCAGAACTGATATTAAATTCACCTAAATACTTTAAGTACTTAAGTCAAGCTTAATGGTCTTCTATGTCGCGTTTAATGACAGGATCACACACACAGCCTTTTTTAATACATGCAGGAAATACACACAGTGCAGGAGGTTCATTATTGTTTTTAAACAGAGCAGATACTAAAGGTATTCATAATCCGCACACTTCAAAAACATCAAAAAGGATTTTCAGACCTCTGGCTATTGAATGGGAGAGCATTGAACTGAGTCACAGCAGAGTTTGGGAGTAAACAAATTGAGCGGCTTTGTAGAGACAGGAGCCGCAGCGCAGAAACACGTCCAAGGAATCTGGCGTGCAAAACCTAAGCTGCTGAAGGGGAAATGGGAGAGTCTAGCCAGTGAGGGTGGTCTGAACAACCTCTACGTAGCGGTGTGTGCGTTTGCTCTCAGGCACTTGTTAAAAGTCTACGATAAATGCATTTGATTGGTGGTTTATTACTCCAGTGCCCGCCTATGGTTGTGTATGTGTGTGGGTTTGAAAGATGATGGGTAGAGACGACTTTTCCATGCTGTGTTTTCACTCTATGTGACGGCAGGAGCAAAGCTTTGACAGCAGCCCTTCTTTTGGTCAGGTTCAGGTTTCAACTCTTTCTAATTACACATAATGTGAAATCCTGCCAAGTTTTCAGCTCTGCCGGCTCCTTGTCGAATATTTTCCCGGCCAAACGCTCGTGACCTGCCATTCGGTTCCCCTATCATCATTTAGGAGCAGATGAATAAGCTGCAATTCACAGACAGTCAGGCAGAAATAAATTTTGATGTATGAGAGAATAACAAGGAGCAGGTGTGTGGTCACATTCAGTCTCACACATACACACATGCTCCTTCGATCTAAGAAAATATGGCCCCTCTGGCCAATAGGGGCCTATTTTCATAGTTTTGTCTGATTCCAAAATTACTGTCAAAACATTTGGGCTCTTTAGTGATTCTGAACTCCGTTAATGCGTGGCTTTTTCTCCAACAAAATGTGATTTACGCTTTGAATGGCTGTGGGGTGAAACCATTTAGTTGTGGTTTTTACGTGTATCAGCACGCAGGATTTGCTACCTCTTTTCTTTCCCCTGGGCTGAATTTAGAAAAATAATATTTGTAAAATTGAAATTTAGAAAAGAGGAAGTGTATTTATTAGAATTTGGGAATAAAGTTTATAAATATTAAGACAAGATGAGATGCTTACGTAGCAGGACAAGAGGAGAAAGTGGCTCTTCTTATTTACAGAAACCAGTTCGATGACGTAGCTCAGATCAGCGGACTTCCTCGCTTGATTTAAGATCCACCATAAATACTGTCAATACTTGGTCACAGTAGATTTAAGTGGCCAACGCAAATTAAATTCTTCCAAGTGTGTGTTTATCTTGACTTAATAGAAGGAAATCCAAACCAAAGTTTAACCATCTGCCTTCATGTAACCCTGCCATCTGAATAATCTAATCTCAGTATAAATCCAGCTGTCTGTTTGAGAACATTAGCGCAGGGGTCAAGGTTTAATCCTTAGAGATGTTTTTAGTCAAGGTTCAGTTCAAAAGACGATACCTTAACCTGTGATCAATGATCACCTAAAAAACGGGGGGGGGGGGGGGGAACTGTAAACCTTCTAAGAAAAGGTTGTCCATAACAACTTAGTTTCTGGGAAGGAACAACAATAATCAAAAGGACCATAACTCTGTAGAAACTGCAGAGATAATCAGCTCAGAAGGGTAAAAAAGCCTGTTGACAAGACACCTGTACGTTACTCTCTTCACAAACCTGTCCTTTATTGAAAAGCAGTATGAAGAAAGCGGGAAAAAAAACAACTTATCAATTTCCAAGCCATGTAGAAAAAACAGCAAACATTTTGATAAAGGTTTTCTCATCAGATAGGAGCAAAGTCGAGCTTTCTGGCCTGTGGTAGGAAAACTGACAGGCTCATATTACCTGCAACACACCTAGTCCTCTGTTTGTTTGAAACATGTTTGTTGCAGCAACATGTTGTGGTAGCGTGTCAGAGTTGGTGGAAAGCAGGATTGAGATTCATTCAAGGCTAGTAAGAAAGTTAATGTATAAAGGTTAACAGGTTAGATGGAAGCACATCAATGCTTGAAAGACCTAGTCAAAGTCCACATCTAAATCTTAAAGTATCAAGGCTTGAATATGGTAAATGGTATGTACTTATATAGCGCCTTTATTCAAGTCAGGAGACTTGACCAAAGCGCTTTACACTGAATTCATTCACCCATTTACGCACACACTGATGGTGACAAGCTACATTGTAGCCACAGCTGCCCTGGGGTTTCCTTGACAGAAGTGGGGGTGCCATACACTGGCGCCACCGGGCCCTCTGACCACCATCTGTAGACAATGCAGGAGGACACAACGACATTGAAAGTCTGAGTCGGGGCTTGAACCGTCAATCCTTCGATTTCAAGGCAAACTCCTACATCCAACGCCACTGTCACCCAATATAAATGATCAGACTGCGCCTAAACTAACAATTATCATGAGCCCCATTAACACTACCCTTCTGAAACCGTGCCGAGAACGGTCCGAGCACATTAACCGAGATAACTGTTGAGTGTAAATGGAACATTGCTGAACATTTGATTGCCAGACACAATCGAACCGCGCTAAATCTAGTACTAGATCAATAATGAATTACTAATCACTATCTGCATGTGTAAAACTAATGAATGTAAAACAATGAATTATAATATAAAACAGGAAAAGCACATCAGCCGTTCCCTTATCCCCATGTATTACCTTGTGACATATAATCCTGATAAAATGCAATAGGACAAAATATGTTTGGCTGTTTCTGGCTTTCTGAAGAGGGAACAGAAACCATACTTTCTTCTCCTTCTACCTTCTTATATGTTTTGTTTCTTCTAGATATTGACCTGTATTTCTTCAGGAAACTCCCTCTCTGTTTTTGTTTCTTTGACATCTCCATGTTTCTCTTGAGATTATTTTGTGATTTCAGACCAGGTCTCTCCCCTCCCAATTTGTCAGGCCACCAGCTGTAGAAACAGGGCTGCTAGTCTTAAACAGGCACCACTTTGTTTTAGCCTTTTTATCAACTGCTCAGTAAAACAAAACCATAGTTTTACAGGTTGTTTACAGCCTGTTTCTGCCTGTGCTTTTATCAAACAGCCATGAAGTAGTTCATTTGCCCGGCTGCTTTTAGAATGATGTCACCCAGTCTACTATATACACAAGTTATTTCAGCCACAAATTGGGCAGGCATAGTTGGTATGATTTTATAGGGAAAAACTGCAGCATCATTAACCAGTTTAACTCCTCTCCTCTCCTCTCCTCTCCTCTCCTCTCCTCTCCTCGCTTCAGTTCCTGGCTCACAGCAGAAAGCATCCATCTTCCCATGGCCCTCCTCTGGTCTATCAGCAGACTTATAATTCACCTCAGATCCTATGTCTCTGCAGCTATCTCACCCTTCCCCGCATTGCAACTGCCAAAAGCTGAGCTTTGCCAGGCGCTCTAAAAAATTGATGCTGAGATGCATCATTGAGATGAAGAAGAGCAGGCTGCATCGGTACAGCAGAGGGAGCTTTGCTGAGTGTTAAAAATGCATATTGTGTTGGGTGCAATGGTATAGCAGCATTTGCAGATATGCTCTTTGTCCTGCGTTTTTCTCCGTTCTTTCCCAAACCAATCAAATAAGAAGCTGTTTACTGCATTTTTACCCCAGAGTACCATCAGCTCTGATGGCCTCTCGTTAAGGCGGCACAGCAGGGGGATAGAATGCAGATGGAAGAGAGACACACCCGTGGGGGGGCTTCCTCACTGTGAATGATGGAAACCTCTCTCCTCAGAATGTCTCTATTTGTGCCTAAATGAGTGGTGCGTCAGCTGGAACTCCAGCGGTTCTGCTCCAGTTCGTCCACACTCCCAGGCACAGCTAACGCGGATCCACCCAGGCCCTCATCATCTGGAAGGTGTTATGGGGAGCGATAGGCTGGGTGGTTTAATGCCTTCTAAAGTCCCTCCTGTAGCCAGCTGTGCTAGATGGAGCTCTAATCTATCGCTCTAAACACCTGCAGGTGCTCGCCTGTGTGGTTCAGGGTCTTTAGGGGGGACAGGACAGGTACAACCTCTATCTAGGATCATAAAACAAGTCGGTAGATTTGTCCTACTTAGAAAAGCCCCAGACACAATCCAAGTTTTGGTGTTTTGCCACTGCTCTATTTCCTCATGACCTTTTGAGTAAAAGTTAGAATCCTCTTCTCACATGGATGTGTAGCCACCCTTACATTTCATGACTTCTGCCACTGCTTGCTGTTCTTTTCCCTCATAGCAACACAATCTAGTTGAGCCGTGCAACTATTTATCTGTCAGGTCTACTTTGGGTCTGGGTGGGCCACAACACACACACAGATAAGAACACGCACACCCTTACACGCTTGGGCGCGCAGGGAGCTGCCTACCACAGCGCTAATAGTGAAAATGGTTTGCCAATCCAGCAGGGAAATTAAAGAGGAAAAGGGGGAGAAAAAAGAAAAGGGGGTAGGAGAGTAAGGGGGTGAATGTAATTCTCAACGACCTTCGCTTCACCAACCCAAACATATTAGGCTGCCTTCTTTCTTCAGGCACAGAGAAAAAGCAATCCGCTAGTGTCAAACGAGAACATTAGTCCTCCGTGCAAAAGCTGAAGAGA